AAAAAATCAAAATAAACATTTAAAAAATCGGAAAGTCAATCAGTGTCATTAACCATAGTAAAAAGATAAAGGAGAAAAACAGGAACTCTGCAGGATAGAAGAAGAGGGGGAACTTCCTCAACTAGAATAAAGAGCATCTATGGATAAAGCTACAGCTCACACACACTTACTGTGAAGTAGTCCATGCTCGACCCATAAGGAGCAGAGCAAGGATGTCCACTCCGCCTCTGTTCAGTGTTCTATGAGACATTTGAACAAGTGAATTAAAGGCAAGTAAAAAATAAAAGGCATGAAATTTGGAAAGGAAATAAGACCGTCTCCACTCACAAATAATATCATTCCTTATATAGAAAATTCCAGGGAATCTACAAAACTACAAGAACATAAAAGTAAATTTAGCAAGGTTGCATGATACAAGGTCATGCAAAAAGGGTTTTTTGTTTGTTTTTTTACTTGCATCAACCATTACTAAATTTTTTTGGAGGTCCTAACCAAGGAAAGAAATTAGGCAAGAGAAAATAACCTCTCTTTATAGATGACATGAAAATCTTAAATCCACAGCAAAAAACCATCAGAACTAATAAATGAGTTCAGTGAGGACATAGGATCTAAGATCAGTATGTAAAATCAGTTGTGTTTCTGTACACTAGCAATGAACAGTCCTTAAATAAGATGATTCTATTTACGGTAACATTAAAAAGAATAAAATACTTAGGATCCAGCTTAGCAAAGGAAATGCAAGGCTTATACACTGAGAACTATAAAGCATCATTGAAAAGAAATTAAAGATCTGGAGGCACCTGGCTGGCTCAGTCTGTTGAGCATCGACTTTTTTTAAGATGGTATTTTATATAGTCCTTTTTTTTTTTTTTTTTTAACATTTATTTATTGAGAGAGAGAGAGAGAATGCAAGTAGGGGAGGGGCAGGAAAAGAAAGAATCCCAAGCAGGCTCCTCAGTGTCAGTGCAGAGCCCAATGCAGGGCTCAAACTTGAGCTGCGAGATCATGAACTGAACTAAAATCAAGAGTCAGATGCTTAACGGACTGGGCCATCCAAGGGGTCCCAAGTGTCCAACTCTTGATTATGGCTCCAGTCATGATCCCAGGGTCAAGGGATCAAGCCCCGCATCAAGCTATGCACTGAGTGTGGAGCCTGCTTAAGATTCTCTCTCTCCCTCTGCCCCACTCACCTCTCTCAAATAGAAAAATAAAAGGAAAGAAATTAAAGACTTAAATGGAAAGACGTCCCATGTTTGTGGGTTGGAAAACAAAAAAATTTTTAAGTAGTCTCTATGCAGGAAGGGGTGTAGTCTTCTTACATTTAAAATAAACTCAAAAAACCAAGTCATACACACCTCCAACTGAGCTATCCAGGCGCCCCTGGAAGACAATCTTTTGAAGGTGGCACGGTACCCTTCATTGATTTACAGATTCAACACAATCACTGTCAAAAGCCTGGCAGTCATTTTTGCAGAAATTGACAAGAAGATCCTAAAATGTATATGGAAATGTTAGGGACACAGAATAGCCAAAACAATCAATTTCTGTGTACAAAAATGTGATTTGCAGCATTATATATAATGGAAAGGGTTTAAAGTGCCCTTCCGTAGGAAAACCGTTAGATAATTACTGTCCTTTAATGGAGATGGTGAATGAAAAAAAGCAAGGTGTTATTATATATTATTGCTTTTTAAGTGTGAGAAAAATATACCAAACTCTTTTTTTTTTTAATGTTTTATTTATTTCTAGGAGAGAGAGAGAGAGACAGTGTGAGCAGGGGAGGGTCAGAGAGGGAGTCACAGACCAAAACAGGCTCCAGGCTCTGAGCTGGCAGTCAGCAGAGCCCGACGCGGGGCTCGAACCCACGAACCGCGAGATCATGACCTAAGCGAAAGTCGGACACTTAACCGACTAAGCCACCCAGGCGCCCCACCAAACTCTTTAAAAGTGCCTAGCTATTATGAAATTTAGCAGGAGATCACTTAAAGGGAGGGCTTTGGCTTTTTAACTTTAAAACGTGAAAGTTTTGTAAGAATAAAGAGGATTATTGCCATATAAAACATTCCAGGACAAGAATAGATGATTTGAATTTTTTTAAATTGCAAAATAAACTCCACTTCAGTGAAATTCTCCTATGGAATACCAGAAGGAAGTATCACGAATCAGAAGTAAGAGAAGGTTTAGTCAGTCAGTGATTTGGGTCAGTTGGTTAGCAGTTTTTGTAATTTGAGGGGAATAATTTTAAAATGTATGGGGCACCTCAGTTAGTTAAGTTTCTGACCTCAGCTCAGGTCATGATCTCAACGGTTTGTAAGTTCGAGCCCACACTGGGGTCTGTGCTGACAGCTCAGAGCCTGGAACCTACTTCGGATTTTGTGTCTCCTTCTCTCTCAGCCCTCTCCCCAGACTGTGTCTGTCTGTCTGTCTCTCAAAAATAAATATACTTTTTTTAATATATAAAATCTAGAAGAAAATTCTTTTCATGAAACCTCAGGAAGGGGTGTGGTCTTTTTACATTTAAAATTGATAGTACTGGAGCGCCTATCTGGCTCAGGCAGAGGAGCGTGTGACTCTTGATCTTGGGGTTATGAGTTTGAGCCCCACATTGAGTGTAGAGATTACTAAAAAATAAAATGTTATAAATACGTACATGAATTAAAAATACTGAGAGTAGCATAAGGGGAAAGGGTGGTCAACTTTAACATGGAAGCATTTAAATCCGTGTGGTTTAAAAGTCCCATTACCAGAATTAGAAGTCAAATAGCCAATTGCTGGGTGAGGGCTGGAGCTGAGGGAGGGGCTTAATTAGCCACAGACAGAATAGATGGGAGGTATTTAATTGGTCTTTTCAGAGGTTTCTGGCTCCTAAAACCCTTGTGATCCTGAGTGATAAGAGCTATCAGGTTGTCTTCTGTTCCAGTAGTTTTGGTTTTGTTCTCAGTTCCTTAAATAGCTCCAGATAAATACTGAGGGTGTAACGGGCTTGTATTTTTTATTCATGACAAGCCCCTTTTGGTCACCTGAGTTTACTCTGGTGAGGTGATTTCTAGAAGTCTAAATAACCACAGGTTGGGGTAGGGGCTAATTACTAGGGGAACCAACCCTGCATTTAGACCCGTTGGAACCGTTCCTCTGCCCTACCCTTGACCTGAGAGGGAAGAGAGATTAGAGGTCGAACCTCCAATCGTGCCTACGCACTGAAGCCTCCATGAAAGTGCGCAGACTCAGGTTCAGAGACCATGAACTCGTGGAGGGCGGGGTCTCCCCTCCCCTTCCCACGCACCTTGCCCTGTGTACCTCTTCCGCTTGGCCGTTCTACTAAATCAGAATCTAGTAAATTAACTGTCTAAGTCCTGTGAGCTTCCCTAGCAATATTCAGACCCAAGGGGAGGTGATGATGAGAATCTCTGGTCACATGGCCACTTGTCCAGCACACAGGGGACAGCCTGGACTTGCTGCTGCCGTCCTAGGGGGGTGGGGCCGGCTGGGACTGAGCCCTTCACCTGGGGGATCTGACGGTGTCTCCGGCCAGTGGTGTTGGCGTCAGATTGAGTTACACTGTGGGGACACCCAGCTGGTGTTGCAGTATTGCTCGGTTCCGGAAACGGCACGTCTGGTGGCCAGGAGGGTCAGAAGTGAAGTATCAGGAATACTGAGGTGAAAGGTTCAGAGCTTTAAAAACAATTTTTCCTTTAAAAAAAACTTCCCAAGATCTCCTAAACAAAGAGGCGAAGAACACAGATGGATCAAGTCTGTAGCATTAGCCGGAATGGAGGTGCCATGCAGGCAGGAATTTTCATCTGTTCTCTGGTGTCCGTCCAGCACCCGGAATGGAACCTTACACAGCACGCTTCTAATAAACAGCTGGGGCATAAGGAGAAATCAATGGCTTTATGATAAATACTCAACCACTGTAATATTGAAAGATCTCGGGTTAAAACAACAATACTTCTCCATTCTCAAAATAGCAGAGGGTTTTAAAGGTCAGTTCCCAGTGTTTGGGAAGATGGGGTGAAAAGGGTATTTTCATATGGCTGACAGAAATACAGACAGCGAGGCCCCGTTACTGCATCTTGCGTGGCGATCATTTCACAGTATGTACATACGGGTTTTTTGGGTTGTTTTTTTTTTTTTAAGTTTATTTATTTTGAGGGGGGCGGGTAGAGAGAGAGAAATCTCAATTAGGCTCTGCGCTGTCAGCACAGAGCCCCACTCAGGGCTCCAACACGCCAACCACGAGATCATGACCTGAGCTGAAATCAAGAGTCCAACGCTTAACCGGCTGAGCCACCTGGATGCCCCAGTATATACCTATATTAAATTATGTGCTGTAGTGTCATGCTGCGCACCTTAAATTTGCACATTAGTATGGCAACTACATCTCAGTAAAGCTCGGGAGAAATAATCTGGATAATGCTAGAGGATATTGGGGAGGAGGCAGATTTTTAAATCCCATGCACAGAACAGTATCGGGAGGCATGGGGGTGGCTACCAGGTAGGTGACACTTTTGCTGAGTGCTTGACTATGTGCCAGATACTGTGAACATTGCATGGTTTTCTTTCATCTTTGTAATGATCTTGTGATACGAACTTTAGTTCCATTTTACAGATAGGGAAACCTAGTGAGGGGCCAAGCCAGGCCTGCGCCCCAAGTCCCAAGCCCCGTGCCGCTGCCCTTCCTCTCACCCCGCTGCCCCCACACACATGGGCACTCACAGTGCTTTGGAGTAAGGGGGCTGTCTCTCTCCTCCTTCAGCTCTCCTTTTCCTAGAAATGTATACGCGGTGTGACTGTGCGGTACTCACAATGTGTAAGAATACACAAACATAAAACTATGGAAATGTGTGGGACCTGAGTCACACTGAGTCCTAAGTGTGACCTGAGAAAGCCAAGTGGGTAAGAAGAGCAGCTAATATACGCAGACGTGTCAGATCATGTGAGAATGAAGTGTAGGTGGGTTGAACTTTCATCAATACGACTGGGGTCTTGTTTTTGGTCAGATGTGGTCCGATGGTGTTGGATGCTTTAATCAAGATTAAGAATGAAATCGATTCCACCTTGACCTTCCGAAGATCATGCAGAGAAGGTAAGCATTTCCTTCCCTGTTTGGCTCTGGGCCCAGGGCCTGCCACACTGAGGGGGCGCCCCGAACAGCTGGCCGCCTGCCAGGTGACCTTGCTGTGCGTCACACTTCCTTTTCTTAGGTAAATGTCAAAAATTCAAACTGTAGTACAAGTTCTGGTTTCTGAATTTTCCTCCCATCCCAGGAGCTGTATGCCGTGTGGTCACTGCATCCGGTGGTCCCTGTGAGCTGTCACACCCTCAGGGACCAGCTCGGGTCTGCCAGCTGGCTACCTCCACACCCGTGCCAGGCTGCCTGGGGGGGCGGGGGGCCAGTGGGAGTGTCTGATTGGTGCTGCTGCACGGGCTACGGGTGTGCCACCCCACCCCTCACCCCCAGCTCCCAGCTCCCAGCATTACCTGTGGACAGAGTAGCTGCTACCAGGAACATTCTGGGCGGGAATAGTTTTCCACAGTGTGCTGCTGGGGCCGCAGAGCTGATTTCAGTGTTCAGACCTGCGGGTTTTACTTTAATAGCCATGTATCTATGCCATACGTTAGAAGAATATAATTACTGGTGACAGTGATAGAGTTTTTTAATACAAATCTAAGTAAAAATGGGTTGGTTTTAAGAAAACCCCTAAATAATCTTTCAGCAGTACTCAGACGTGGCAAGAATCACAGATGCCACCAGGGCTGAGTGGTCCTGACGGCGTGGAGCAGTCTGTGTGGCCGCCTGTTCTGCGCACCTTACACGGATCAGCAGCCCAGTCAGTGGTGACGCTGGGGTTTGGGGAGCCAGGAGTCCACCGAGTCGTCAGATTCCAGAACTACGCTCAGGCGGTGCACTCTGCCGGTCAGGCTTGGAAAAGCTGAGCTAAAACCAAAACAGAGGGTAGTATGGGCCAAAGCAAGGGATCGAACCTTCTCCCTAAAATAACCTCGTAAAAGGAAAGGTCACCAAAGGTATTGGCCTATCACTTCTTAGTCTGCATCCCGCTGTGCGTTTCAGGTCATTCAGTCCTGCTTGTAAGACCTCTGCTTTGATTCAGCTGGTCTCAGGGTGGGGTTTAGTGTACCAGATGCTGACAGATGCTGCGATAGCTTGGCTGAGTCCTGCTGCTCAGGGGACATTCTGCTGTAAGTAAACACCAGCCTTCCCCGTGTAAGTCCTGGCAACACAGGGACTGTCGATGCTTTTCAGTAACCTTTCCCCGTAAGACTTTTTCCGAGCCAAGAATATAAGCTGTGGCCCATCTGGACTAAACACTATGAAGCAGGTTGATGTTATTTGCCGCTCCTTTCTCTTCCCTTATTGGTAAGAGAATTTCTGGGGGATCTTTTATCAGAGAAGATTCATTGGATTTATTATTATTTTTTAATGTTTATTTTTGAGAGCACAAGTGGGGAAAGGGCAGAGAGAGAGGGAGACATGAATCCAGAGTGGCTCAAGGCTCTGAGCTGTCAGCACAGAACCCAGTACGGGGCCTGAACTCATAAGCTGAGATCATGACCTGAGCTGAAGTTGGACACCTAACTGTCTTGAGCTACCCAGGCACCCCAGATATACTTTTTTAAATGTGTGCCATCTCTTGGGGTACCTGGGTGGCTCAGTCAGTTGAGCGTCTGACTTTGGCTCAGGTCATGATCTCACAGTTTGTGGGTTCGAGCCCCGTGTCAGACTCTGTGCGGACAGCTTGCTCAGAGCCTGGAGCCTGCTTCAGATCTGTGTCTCCCTCTCTCTCTGCTCTTCCCTTGCTTGCGCTCTGTCTCTCTCTCTCAAATATAAGCATTAAAAGTTTTTTTTAGGGGCACCTGGGTGGCGTAGTCGGTTGAGCGTCCGACTTTCACTTAGGTCATGATCTCGTGGTTCGTGGGTTCGAGCCCCGTGTCGGGCTCTGTGCTGACTGCCAGCTCAGAGCCTGGAGCCTGTTTCAGAGTCTGTGTCTCCCTCTCTCTCTGACCCTCCCCTGCTCACACTGTCTCTCTCTCTCTCTCAGAAATAAATTAAAATATTTTTTAAAAAAAAAAGTTTTTTTTAAAAATTGTGTGCCATCTCATATTAAAGCATACTTCTCTGGTTGGATGCCAGGCTTACATAAATATATTGACGACACTCAGTCTTCCAGGGAGCTACAGGAGTATTTGCTTAAGACAGGGCTTTGTGTTCTTGTACACGCCTACCAAGATCCACAGAAGAGAGTGGTCTTACTCAAGTAATGACCCAGTGCACGTCTCACAAGGAATCACATTCCTCTGGCCTGATGATCTTCAAAGAAACAGCTTCAGAGAAGCGGATTCATTTTGCATAGTCATCTTTAAGCTCCGAGATATCTCGGAAATTTCCATACACAGGACACGAGTCCAGGCAAAGAAAAGTCTCATTTTCAGGGTCCTTTGTCAGCACCTTATTTTGCTGTGCTTTGGTTTCAGTTAGTTCATTCTTCTCGTTGGAAGGTCAGTGCTCAGGCCGTGTATGTGGTTTTCATACCCCCAGAGCTGCTACGCTGCTGGTTTTGGTGAAGACAGTCGAGTAAGAGTTCTGTGTGGGTGATGCACACCCAGGCCTAAAACAGAAGGCGACCAACACAGTGCTGATTTGCTTTTGGTTTCTGCCTGTTAAGAGTTTGAGTTCAAATAACAGAGACTTAACAAAACCAGCCCTCCCCTCCCCTCCCCTCCCCGGAGCCAGGACTGATGTGGGCACCCTGCAATATCAGCAGTGCCCCGGGCCCCTTGTGTCTTCCAGCGCCATCTGTAGCTTGTAGATTCCAGCCTCAAGGGTGCCTCATGGTCCCAAAATGGCTTTTGGAACTACAGCCGTCAGATCTACATTCCAGGCAGTGAGATGGAGGAACGGGAAATAGCAGCAGGGCCCCTCTGCCACAGGTGTGTTTGTCGGCACCGCCCCTGATAGTAGAGGAATGGCGTTCCAGAAAACAGAGTTTGGAGCTGGACCGGCTGAGCACGGGGAAGGAAGTGCTAAGTGCGTTCTCTCCACAGGCATCTGTGGCTCTTGTGCGATGAACATCAACGGAGGCAACACTCTGGCTTGCACCCGCAGGATTGACACCAACCTCAGCAAAGTCTCAAAAATCTACCCTCTTCCGCATATGTATGTGATAAAGGATCTTGTTCCCGTGAGTTTCTGCCTCTCCCCTTGTCTCCTATCCCCTCTTCTGTCTCCTATCCCCCCCCCCGTCCCCCTCCCTCCACCTTTTTTTTTTATCTTCGGGGGAGGGGGAAGAGGTGTGAGTGAGAGAGAGAGAGAGAGAGAGAGATGTTATCAGTTCTTCAGGGCAGGATTTCTCCCTGAGTTTAAGGAATTTGAATGGTGGAAGATAAGCACATAGAAGATTCTCCAGCAGCCCGTTTGGTGAGGATTGTTTGGGAATAACTGGGCACAGGATTGTAGACTTGGAACAGTCCCAGAATCAAGAATTTGGCCATAACTACAAAGAATTCATGTGGAAAATCCCAGTGGGGAAGGCAGCACATGTTACGCATTGTACTTGACTATCAGCCTCTCGGTGTTTGATCGCCTTCACTGCCAGGGCTGTGGGGTTGGCAGGCTTCCCGAGTGGGCGAAGGAGAGATTTCCTAGCCACAATAACACTTTGACCGTTCCTCCTAATGTAATCTTTGCACGTCCCTGTGCCGAAGTGACTCACACTTGTGTTGTAGTCTGGGGGGAAGCAGGGCGTGTCCAAGACACGGGGTGAATCAGAACGCCAGTGAGTGGTAGTGAAACCTGACCCTTTTTTCCTTCTTCCTCTTAACCTCAGGACTTGAGCAACTTCTATGCTCAGTACAAGTCCATCGAGCCCTACTTGAAGAAGAAGGATGAGTCCCAGGAAGGCAAACAGCAGTACCTGCAGTCCATAGAAGATCGCGAGAAACTGGTCATTGTCCACAATTATTGTCTTGCTTGGAGGTGTTGTGTCGCCAAGTTGCGTGCGAGGAAGTGGCAGAGAGGGGCAGCTTGGGATCGTGCAGGCCATTTATTTAAGGTGTTCTGGGAAGGAACTGCCAGAGCATGTGTCCAGGGGCCGGATACCCATCCTCTCGGGGCCAGGCGGGCAGGCAGGCCCACAGTGGCCCCAGGGTCTTCAGCGCGCCCTCACTGCCCAGCACCATGTTGCAGGATGTTTGTCTTTCTCAGAAGAAACCTGCAAGCAGGTTACCAGGTCTTTCCAAGGTGGCCCCGTGGGTGGCCCTTCCCCTGGGAGGCAGAGCAAACACACGGGCCCTTGTGGTCCCGCTTCTACCACCTGTTCTGCAGGCGGGAGCAAAGGCGTCGGTGGCAAAACTGGGACTAGAACCTTGCCATTTTTTGCTGACACTGCGGGTCCGGGGATTGCGGGCGGGGTAAGGGACAGCCCTGTCACTCTTAGGGTTCCAGTATCCAGGCAGTGAGGTCTTTTTTTTTTTTTTTTTAATGTTTATTTCTTTATTTTTGAGAGAGAAAGCACAAGCAGGGGAGGGGCAGAGAGGGAGGGAAACAGAATCCCAGGCAGGCTCAGAGCAGTCAGCACAGAGCCCGACACGGGGCTCGATCTCATGAACCTTGAGATAGATCATGACCTGAACCGAAGTCGGGCACTTAACCAACCGAGCCACCCAGGCTCCCCTGGTTGGCTTTTTTGTTTTTTGCTTTCTGGGGGGCTTTGTTTGCTTGTTTTTTTTTGTTTTGTTTTGCTTTCTGGAGGGCTTTGTTTGCTTGTTTTGTTTTTAGATAACAGGTTGTTTATTTAAGGATAAGTACATTGCACTTGGACTTCAGAAGTCTGGGTTCTAATTCAGCAAACATGTACATTCCAGTTCCAAGATCTTTTTAATGAATCTGATACATCTGTACACATTTTGCGGAGAAAACTCACATGCAAGTAGGCGCTTTGTTCACGCGCTGACCACCGACATCATATCCGGTCGGCCAGAAACCTGAGTGTCTACAGCCGCGGGCTCCTGACTGCCCTTTCCCTCCACGCAGGACGGGCTGTACGAGTGCATCCTCTGCGCCTGCTGCAGCACCAGCTGCCCCAGCTACTGGTGGAACGGAGACAAATACCTCGGCCCTGCGGTCCTGATGCAGGTAAGGTGCTCTGTTGCTCTCAGAGAAGCTCAGGCTGAGGCGTCCCGAAGTCCAGGAGGCCGGCATCTTGTTGGAAACCAGGGCGCCGGCGGCACCTGTCACAGGCAGGGCCGTGGTGGCCTGGCCTTTGCCTGGTTTCACTACGTCTTCACCCACTGCTTCCGGGTGCGGAGGGTCTCCCCGAGGCAGAGTACGCCTTGCACACGTTAACACGTACTCCCTGTGCGGCTGGCCCTTGCTTGCCCACTTGCCCGCCTTCCCCAGACCACATCTGCCAGCATTGGTGGTGGTATAGTGGTGAGCATAGCTGCCTTCCCAGACCACATCTGTCAGGCGGCCCCCCTGTCTCCCTGTCCGGGGAGTTGGAGCAAGCAGGGAAGAGAGAGAGCATCAAGGGGTAGCCTCCCAGCTGTAAGTTTGGAACTTGTCTGCAGGCTAATGAAAACCTGGAGTCCTGGGTTTAGGGGTTGCTTGGCCAGAGGCAGCACGGCCTTTCTGGGGACATCACCATATGTGTACTCACTGCAGGGAAACCGCCTTGTTCCTTTAAAGCTGTGCTTTTTAAAGTTTGTGGTCAGTGCTTTTCTCAGATGCTCAGGCAGCTCAGAAAACGCCAGTTCTCATTTCTCATCTTCCCACAAAAAGGGAAGCTATGTGCTCTGTGACCACTTAGCAGTATTGATTCCCATCCACATGAAGACGAATGACGAGGCCCATTCACGGCTGGCATCTGCGCCTTCACTGCGAGGTGCTGGGGAACAGAATCCCCTCCGCCTCACTGCCCAGCAGCCCGCACTCAGGCGGGTGGCCGCCTTCAGCTGGCTCGTGCCAGGCTCCGAGGTGGGGCAGCCAATCACAAGAGTACCAGTGGGACACATGATCTCCGGACAGATACCTTAAGCCGTCAGTCTGCTGGGAGACCGTGGGTGTGTGTTGTGAAGGCAGAGAGTGCTGTGACACTGTCCCTGCCTTCCCGGAGTCCTAATCTGGGCAGGAAGCTAATGAGCACCTTGAAATAACAAGAAGGTGACACTTGGTCACGTGTGATTAACACCAGGGTAGCAGGTGTGGTGTGCTTCAGAGGGGGGTGGGGGGGCCCGTTAATCAGGAGTTACAAAAGAGCAGGGACTGTTCCTTGAAAGATGGCAGGATTTAAATGGCAGAGACAAGGCCCCTAAGCTGAGAGACTCCCTTCCCTCTGCACCTGGGGCTTTGAGCTGTGACCCATTAAGCTGCCGGCCCAGCTCCTCAGCCCCTGCCCCCCCAGGCCTATCGCTGGATGATCGACTCCAGAGACGACTTCACTGAGGAGCGCCTGGCCAAGCTGCAGGACCCCTTCTCCCTGTACCGCTGCCACACCATCATGAACTGCACGCGCACCTGCCCCAAGGTACGTGGCGCCGGCGGCCCATCCCCGCCTCCGAGCCGACCTGTCCGAAGCGGCCTGTGCGGTGGCACAGAACAGAACTGGTCTCTCGAGGTGGGAGAGGGACCGGAGTCACCTGGGGGCTAGCTGACACTTAGGTGCAGGGATCAGCCTGGCTCAGGCCCCCTCGGGGGAGAGGCCTGCTGTAGACCGTGCAGGGGCGTGACAGTCAGGGACGCCGCAGGAACCCCCAAACAAGCTCCCGTGCCCCCCGACTTGGTAGGGGCCACGAGAAGAAAGGCGTCAGAACACAGCCGTGGGGACGGATTCCCTCTCCGTGCCGCCGCATCGCGGCTTTGCTGCCAGTCTGCTGTGCGCTCGCAGCCAGCCCTTTGTTCACGGGGTCTTTTCTCGGTCTCGGAGCGCAAGCGCACCTGGCTTTCCCTCCCTCCTGCTCGTCCTGCTCCCTGCACTTGCCCCCCTCTTCAGCTTCTGCCACCCACCCGCCTCCCCGGCGTGTCAGTGCCACATCCGAGGCGCACGGCCCACCGAGCACTGGCTGCCCTTCGGTCCAGGCGGTGGGCACAGAGCAGCCCGGGCCACGTGGCTCCGAGAGCGTGGCTGCCCCCTGAGCAGAGGCCACGGGCAGAGCGTTTCCGCTGAAGGTGCCGGCAGTGAGCAGGGATGAGAAACCAGGATAAATGGTCAGCGGTTTGGAAACGGGCTGGGGAGACAGCCTGTCTTAAACAGGACAGCCAGGCATCCCTTCCTTTTTTGCCTGACACCGTGTTCCCAGGCACCCCCGTCTCTGCCACACTTCTCGTGGTCTGTCGGCAGCGGGGCCTGGTGGGGGAGGGCCTCTGCCCCTGGGACCTCTGACTCTCGGGGCAGGTTAGACCACTGATGGGCACAGCGAGCACCCAGGAAGTCCCCACAGACGGGCGCCAAGCCTGTTGGAGACGCAGGGCGGCCTGGCTCCTGTGTTTCTCAGTAAACTCCGAGCGCGGGGGCTTCTGGGTGCGTTCCCTTGCAAGCGCCTTTGCGTCGCAGATGGGAGCCGACAGGAATGAGGCCGTCAGGGACCCTGTGGGAGTAGACACAGGCCCAGATTGTTTGAGCTGGAAGCGACCCCTTGGCAGATGGCAAAGCTGAGCCCCGGGCAGGAGTAGGGAGGGCAGCAACTTTCCAATGTCACTGTCTTGCCAAGTCAATGTCAGTGACTTGCCAAGGTCACTGTCGGGGCCGCGCCCAGATGAGGTGGGCTCCTGTGTGCGGACCCACCACCCCTGTGGTAAACGGGGATGGGCAGGGGTGCCGCGGACGCTCATCCCGCACCCCGTCTCCAGCCACCTACCCGCCAGCCCGTGTGCCCCACCTCTTGTGTGCCTTTCCAGAGATATCACCCTGTACGAGTGCAAACGGACGGGTCCTGTTCAGTCACAGTCATTGCCTTTTCCCCTTAATTTATTTTGGAGATCATTCCATAGCAGCCTTGGAGGAGTGTCCTCACTCTTTTCTTTCTCTCTGAAGATCCTTTTTCTTTTTCTTTTTTCTTTCTTTACACACACTCCTCCCTCGCCCACTCCCACAGAAGTGCTTTATTGGCAGTAGGGTTGAACGTACAAAAAATCCTCAGCTGGATGGGACCAGGCAGTCACAAGGACCGACGACACCATGAGTAGGGAGAGGTGGATGGCTTAAAGGAGAGCCCATCACCTGGCGCGTCCACAGCGGCCCGTGGCTCTCCCTGGACTCTCCTGTTCCAGCGCTTCCCAGCCTCCTTGGCCTCGGAAGGCGTCATAGTTACTCAGCCCCACCAGAGCTGGGGGACTGGGGGCCGGGCCTGAGCACAGGGCATCAGGCCCCTTGGAGTCCAGAATGGCCAGGGGAGGGCCGGGGCTGGGGTGGATCTGGCAGGGCGCTCGGCATCATGAGAAAGTTGTTTAAAAGTACCCTCATGGGGCGCCTGGGTGGCTTAGTCCGTTCAGCGTCCACCTCTTAATACAGGCTCAGGCTACAATCTCACGGTTCGTAAGTTCGAGCCCCGTGTCACAGAGACTGAATGAGGTTCTCTCTCCTTCACTCTCTCTCTCTGCCCCTCTCTCCCTGTCAAAATAAGTAAACTTTTTGAAAATGCCACTTCCTTCCTCACTCCCTCGGTTTCCTCTGCACACTTGTTGGAGATGCCTTCGTGGACAGATTCAGGCCCCCGAGAGCGCAGAGCCACGTCTCCCTGCCCAGGTCCTGGGTGTTCAAGGTGGTAAACTTCCACTTCCTCAGGGCCTGGGTGACCTATCCCCTGGGCCTCTTTCCTCACCCTTTCAGTACAGGGGTAGAGTTGTCCTTCTAGAACGACAGGCCTCTCTTCTGACCCCAGCGGAGTCTGGGTCTCCCTGCTGAGGCGCTCGCCGGGTTTGATCACGGCGCCTCCTGCCCAAGCAGGGTTACTGGCCAGTCAGGCCGCCCCCGGGGCTCAGGGAGGGTTCCAGCGAGGGCTGTATGTGTCCACGGGAATGTGTAAGAGACTGAGGGCTGCTGGCTGGTGGGGACACTGGCCGTGGGAGAGCTGCCCTCTCCCCAGACGTGCGAGCATCTAGAGCACACGGCCCGCCTGGGCCTCCCCGGGCCTGCCCAGGGGCGGGGGCTCCCTGGAGCGAGCCGGCCGCGGTGACGCGAGGTGTCTGCAGGTGGGCCGGGAGAGCCCAGAGCCCCGGCCCCGGCTTGGGAAGGACGGGAAGGACGAGACTCAACATCCGCCCTGCTTTGACTCCATCCTGATGAGGGTGGTTCGGCCCAGGCCCCTGGGTTCTTCCTTCAGTCTCACCCTCCGGTGTTGATTCTCTTTTCTTTTCTCAAGGGGCTGAATCCGGGCAAAGCTATTGCTGAAATCAAGAAAATGATGGCCACCTATAAGGGGAAGACAGCGTCAGCCTAACTGTTCCCACGCTAGCCATGGCTTAAGCAGCCCGCTGGACATCCTTTATATCCAATCTGAGTCCCTGCAGAGGTCTTGATTTTCCATGAATACAGCATGTGTAATAAAGATTTTAAGAAATAAATTTTATTCTACTTTATTAACAAAACACGCTTGTCCCTTGTACTTTCTGAGAAGGAATGCACAGGTCCCAGGAGGAAAAGGGCTGCCTGGTTCTGGAACCTAGCCCCTGGGGCGGGGCGGGGGGGGGGGCGGGGAGGACAGGCCTGCTGGCCCCGGGGCTTTTTCCCTTTGCCCTTCCCCAGCGGGATGCCCTTGGGCAACTTCCTCCTCCCCCTCCCAGCCTCTCCGCCCATCTGTCCAGGGAAGGCCATGGCCACGCCCATCTTGCCCATCCTGTGCTGCGGGAATGTGCCGCTCACTGAAGGGAGCTCCCTGGAGCTCTCGTTCTAGAGCCCTCCGGGTCCTGCAGCTTTCAGGATTAGGATTACTACAAACCACATCTTGCTAAACCTGTTAGACCCTTCCAACACAGAGCAATGGCCCGGATTGGCTGTGATCTTGAGTTCCACAGCTGACCTCGGGACCTCTCCTGGCAAGCATGAATTCCCATCACTGCTTCCTTGGCTGTAACGCTTTACCACGGAGGCGGCAACACTCACTGAAAAGACGGTGCAAAGTGCATCAGGTCGGAAACAGAAAGCCTTCCAACTCCCCAAGTCCCATGCCACCTCCCCCGCTGACAGCTGAGAGGTACTTCCTTCCAGACCTTTCTGTCATGACAGATGGGCAGACAGGAAAGCTTTCCCTTCAAAAAGTGCCATATAGAGCCCCCAGGTGGCTCAGTTGTTGAGCGTCCGACTTTGGCTCAGATCATGATCTCACGGCTGGTGGGGTCCCACGTCGGGCTCTGCTGACAGCTGGGAGCCTGGAGCCTGCTTCCGATTCTTTGTCTCTCTCTCTCTCTGCCCCTCCCCCACTCGCATGTGCTCTCTCTCCAAAAGAAATAAGCATTTTTCAAAAAGTATTTTTTTAAGATTTTATCTATTTTTAAGTAATCTCTTCACCCATTATGGGGCTCCAACCCACAACCCCAAGATCAAGAGTCGCATGTCCCACGGACTGGAGCCAGCCAGGCGCCCCAAGAATCACCTTTCTTTTTAAGGCTGAATAATACTACATTGTGTGCAGACGCCACGTTTTGCTGCATCCATCCATCCCTCAGTGGATGACACCTGTCTGCTTCCATGTTTTAGCTGTCGTGAATAATAGCAGCTCTCTATTCTCACCCCACAATATATAAGGGCCTCTTTGATGCTAATAAAGATCTGCCTGTGTGTGTGTGTGTGTGTGTGATTTATCGTCCACCTTAGCCTCTGGAACCGCTGGTTAAGTGCTCCGAGGGGCAGGTGCACAGAGATTCTCCGCTGCTGCCCATGAGGGCCTCCTCTCCCTCCTTTTTAACCTCCCAGCAGTGAGCTCATCCAGGAAACAAAGGCTTCTTGCATCAGGAGGCGGGCCATGCAAAGAAGAATGTCTGACTCACCCAGGACGAACCTTTAATGAGCATTGGTGGCTTTGAAAAGGGACAGTTCAAAGGCACTGGTCTAGTCTCCAAGCGTTACTCATTATGAGAGGCGAGGCGCTGGAGGGTAAAGATGAGCAAGATTTGTTCCCTGCCATCTAGGAGCCAAGGTCACCAAATAAAATTTAATTTAAAAAAAAGAAAAAACCATTGTATTACTAGAAATTCAGAACAGGGTCCTTGCCCTAAAGTACAGCATCTGACACTTGACGACCCCAGTGAGAACACACAGGTCCCCCGTCCTCAGGTGTGGGAGCCCAAACCCGGAAGTGGGAACTGAGAAACCCCAGGCAGCCCCCATACCTTTTATCCCGTTGACACCCGATTCTCTTCTGTCTGTCTCGGAAAAGTCACTTTCCTTGGATTCATGGATAATTTGACGTTGCTTCTAATACTTAGATCTGCAGAGAAAGATCTGTTTTTCAAAGAGAAAACGACCTCTGCACCCCCAGCCGCTGGTGTGAGGCAGTGTCCTGGGGTCACTGCACATCTGCCTCGGGGCGTGTCGGATTGCTGCAGGCCACCCCTCCCCCCTTTTCCCTCCCTCCACCGGAGCCAATGGCAACACGTTATCAACCGATAGTTGTATTTGCTGCTTATTCAGTCTTTCATTGGATTGCAAGTAACTGGTTCTATTTTAAGTCACAAAGACTGTTCTAACAAAAACTGCAGTCCTGAGAGGAAAGACGGTTCTCTGTCCTTTATGGTACCTCGGTGCCCCGATTGTGTGCAGACGACGTGCCTTCTTTTGCAAAAACAGTACTGTGGAATTCGTCCAGTTTCTCTAAGACTGAACCCAGCCATCTCTTCTTAGCTGGTCATTGGGCAACTTCCATGCCTCTGTTTTCCTATCTATAAAATGAGCATAAACAGCATTCACCTACCAGAATTGTGGTTCAAGTCTCATGAGAATGAGGGTAAGTTCTCACTCAAAAAAAGTAAATACGTGAGGCGATAGATGTGTTAAGGAAGGGAATCCTTTGTACCTCAAAAAAGCTGAAAGGGTTTTTTTTAAATAAATACTTAACATATTAGTTTTCAAAACGATGGGGTGCCTGGGTGGCTCAGTCGGTTGAGTGACTTCAGCTCAGGTCATGATCTCTTGGTTCGTGAGTTCAAGCTACACAGCTTGCTGCTGTCAGTGCAGAGCCTGCTTCAGATCCGCTGTCCCCTCCTACCTCTACCCCTCCCCTGCTTGCTCTCTCTCTCTCTCTCTCAAAAATAAATAAAACGTTTAAAAACATTTTTAAGTGGGGCGCCTGGGTGGCTTAGTCGGTTAAGCGTCCGACTTTTCGCTTAGGTCATGATCTCGCGGTTCGTGGGTTCGGGCCCCGCGTCGGGCTCTGTGCTGACTGCCAGCTCAGAGCCTGGAGCCTGTTTCAGTCTGTGACTCCCTCTCTCTCTGACTCTCCCCTGCTCACGCTGTCTCTCTCTCTCTCTCTCCTATAAAAAAAAAAAAAAAAAAAACATAAAAAAAAATAAAAATAAAAACATTTTTAAGATAAATGGGAAAGCATCTAGCCTGCAGTAGGGCAAATGCTCCAGAAACACAATTCAGCTAATTGGTCTCAAATACACACAACGTGGAAGGCCGGCTCAGTGCCGCAGGGGACACACAGGCTTCCGTTCCTGGCCCTTGGATTTGACACCCAGGAACATTTCTGACATGCCTCGCCAGAGTGAGGGACCTCCCTCCCGTTCCGAGGATGGGTTTTTTTTTGGGCAGAACCAACAATGCTCTCTACGCATGTCACACCGACCACGCGGTGGAGGGACAGAGGGCCACCAACCAACCCCAACACCCAAATGCTCTCTGGCCCTTCTCCTCCTTGCCCAGGAGACTGAGATAAATTGCTGAAACCCCACTTCATGTGTCTAGACAGCCATCATCTTGTCATGGGGTTTGTCACTAAGTGAGAAAATCTGCTTTCACTGCAAAAATCTAGTGAAACTGGAGAAATTGAGAAATAAGGCAACGCTCTAGAATAAACCGGTCTGAACTAGTGGCTTCTCAATCCTTTGGCCACTTGGACCACACATATTTCATGTCTTTCTCGTGTGTCCCGAAGGGGAGCGGCAAGGAAACTTTCCTGCAAGGAAAGTTCCTTGATGGCTCCTGACCCACAGGTGTCTGGAGTCCAACCCACAAAACCACTGAGAGGACCACACAGTGAGAGCCACTTCCCCAGAGGTAACCCCGGCAGGCGGACGCAGGCGGACAGCAGAGCGTTCCACATCCTCTGTGGTTTGGGAGGAAGCTTCCTCTGGCTTCCTGCCCCATCAAGGCCAAGGCGGCAGGTGTGGCTCCTCCCCAGATGGGCTCAGAGGGTGGAGCCTCTTCAAAGCCAAGCAGCCGGAGCAATGGGAGTTGGGGAACCAATCTTGCAATACGATCCCTGAGCCCCCTGCCTTGATGAAACTTCTAGCCCAGCACCAGGAGCTAAAGGAAGGAACTGGCTTCTTCTACCAAGCACCTGCTATCTTACTTCACCCTCTGAGCTACGAAAGAGCCTCAGAGAGGGAAAGTGACTTTTTAAAGCTCATACAGCTAGAAAGTGCCTGATGTACATCCCAACCCAGGAGAGGCGCCACACACTGCCTCTTGGCAAGGCTGCCCTGGCAGGCCACTTCTCCAAACCCAGCCACTGTGCCTGCTGTTGGGGTCTCGGCTCCCTGGGGAGGAGGTCCATCGGGCACACTGAGCTAAGCTCTGGGGGAGGACATGGGGACTGCGAGAAGTTAGCCTGCCCGCACTGGAAATGTCAGCAGCAGATGACACAGGTCTTCTCACCTGAACTAAGTGAAGGCAGCCACACCCCTCAGGTGGTCCAGCTGCTCAGCCAGTAGCCCACCAGCTCAGTAAGTGGCTCCACTGTCCCCGCACCCCCTGCTCAGAACTGAACTCGGAAGCATCTTTGATTCCACACTCCTGCCCCTCCACTTCCCACCCATCAGCAGGTCCTGCCAACGTTTGCCCCTTTGGCAAATGTATGGATTGATTTCTTGCTATGTATCGGGCACTGTCAAGGCCTTCCCTTCTTTCCCGTCTGGAGTCCACCCTACCCCATAAACCCCCATCAAAGCTCTGGCTTCTTCCAGCCCTTTCCATGACAGGTTATTGTTGGAGTTTTCCTCTGCCTGACTTTGGCTGCTCCCCTCCCGCGTCTGTTTTATTCGCCGTCACGGTCCCAGCTCCTAGAACAGGGCCTGGCATGCCCTAGATCATATTGGAGCAATGACGATGGATTGGGCGGGTCCAGTCCTTCCCTGATTTGTCCCAGACCTTGGAGTCTCTGATTCACCCTCGCCTTTGGAGATCCTTAGTCCAGAGGCCACCGACCTCAGGGTCAGGGGACACTGTGTCTGCACCTGTCACAGTGGGGCAGTGGGATAATGCTGCATACAGGTATGAGGCCTCCAGGCATCCCACCTGTGCAGGGCTCACTGCAGTCACGAGGTGAGGCTTCTGGGGTCTGAGTTATACCTCCACTATTTCTCTGGCATTTTAGGGGCCTCCCGTGCACCACTGCAGTCTCGTTGTGTCCACGCATATCTCTGAGGGG